AATTTTATACAAATATAATGGGTTTGAGTTTATTGTCTTCCCTCCTCAAGTTATAGCCTTCCTATAATTGTGCTGACATACTTGTCACTTATAGAAATGCTGAAGGAATCCTAAGCAATGAAAAGTCAGCCTAACGCTGCTTCTAAGCTCTTACCAGCTACTTGGCTGTACAAAGCAGCACTCTAAAACTCAGGTGACTAATTAACAATCTGCAACTGGGACAGTGCTTGACTGGAAGGCTTTCCGTTCCACATGGCATCAGCCCTGATGGTTCCCCTGAGAAGTGGAGGATCTCTTCCAGGTGGGTTAACTCAAAGGCATTAGTTACTGGCTGGAGCTAAAGCTAAATGGAGAGATGGGGCCTTCATTCCTCTCAGGTGGCCTGGGTTTCCTTCTACTAAAGGAGAGCTCCAAGAGTGTATGGCTTTTTATAACCTAGCTTTGGAAGTTTTTTTTTAGCATTCTCCATCACTTGAGGTAATCGCAATAATCCACCCAAATCAAGGGGAAGGGACTGCTGGAATTTGGATCCGGATGGCCCCGAAGTTCCTGCCTGTTAGAGGATTGGTCCTCAGACCCTTGAGCTATGGTGAGGTGGCAGAAGTCCTAAGAGATGAGGCCTCATGGAATGTCTTCAGGTCACAGTGGGGCATGCCCTTGAACAGGTTAGTGGATAGCCCTTTATTTTTCTCTTTTTCACTTCTTGGCCACAAGGTGGATAATTTTGCCCCATCATGTGGTTCTACCATGAAGTGCTACCATATGCCCAAACCAATTGTGTACTGAAACCTTCAAATCCATGAGCCAAAATAAGTATGTTCTGATTATCTTAGGTACCTGCTACTGTAATCCGACACAGGACATAACCACCATGACTTGTGTGGCAAAGTTCTAAAAGAGCATACTCGTGGGATATACTATGTAGTCTCTTTTGAGAATACACTCTATTACATTAGATTTGGATTGTATTATATTCTTTTAGATCTGACCATTGTCTTTCCTGAAGGTTACCATAGACAGTAAGTAAACTAAGGGAGTATCCTGATTTTCTTAGACAAAAATAATGAATCAACTGTTTAATGACTAATGACTTTGTGAAAATACAAAATAAGGGGGTTAAAACAGAGACCTAATTCTATCTGGCCAAATGACTGAGAGGATACTGTAGGATACTGAAGATGCGATCATAAGACATGTCTTCCAGATTCCTATGGACAAAAATGAACTGGAAACATGATTGGTTCAGTTTGTAAGTTTACTATTAATTGAATTTGATCTGTCAATGTCTTTAATAATTTTCTTCTTACATAATCAAAACCATGAATCTGGAAATAAAAGTGGTTATTTTACAAAAATGTCCTTTTAAGACCCCAAATTCTCTCCAAGAACACTAATAGTAAGATATCTGATAGTAAAGAATTTGAGAGAAGAGGAAGAAATATGAAAAATTGACTTTTAAGTACACATTGACATCTTGCTCCTACCATCTTACCTACTCAGGAGGGTGAATCTGAGGATCGCATTTCAAAGCCAGCCTAAATAGACAAATCTAGACAAAAAAATAGACAAATTTTTGCTGATGATTTCCAATTAACCAGCAAAAAGCCAGAAGCTGAGGCATGGCTCAAGTGGTAGAATGCCAGCTGTGAACCAAAAAGCTAAGTGAGAGCTTGAGGTCCTGAGTTCAAGCCCCAGTACTACTACTACAAAAAAACCCTTAAATTTCATATACAAGAAAATGTTTTTTTATGATATGATTTCCTTTATGTACTATAGAGGGAAGCAACCTATAGATGAGCAACCTTTCTTTAGTACAGTTCAAGTACTGTACTGCTTTCTGTATTCTTATTTTCAGCCATATGTATATCTTCTATCATCAGACAGTTCTCAGGGTGCCCAATATATTCCATTCTCATTCTGAGCCTGTGTCTCATTTGTTTAGCTGCTTCTGGGCCTTTACTTTTTCTGAAAAAACACCAACTTGTTCTGAAGAACTCTGGTAACTCTACTTGGCTGTTATACCAGGGTCATATAGCCTGGTGATTTAATGAAAAGATGGCCAGTGAGAAAGGGTAAACTTTATTGAATGGCAAAAGGTATGGGAGTTGAAAGAACATCTGTGATGGAAGATAACAACCCATTCCCAGTTATTACTTTCTGGATTCCCCAGGTTCTGTGCTAGGGATGTTTTGTCAATGACACCAGGTGTGGAGAGTAAATGGTTGCATCAGATACAAAAGAATCCTGCACAATTCTCAGGCAGCTTAAAAAAAAAGACCTTGAAAAAATATACACGTAAACATATCATATGTATGAAGCTTAATGCTTTCTTCAAAAACTAAATATTTCAAGGGATTTTTATATATTAAACTCTACTGGTCTGATGATAGGTTTACTTTTTAAGCAAAACAACTTCAATACACCCTTTATTGTTTACTGTGAAACTGTTACTGCACAGCTGACCCAGGCTGTTGGCTTCTTTAGAACCTTTTCCTCCACTAGTGTCTTTCCAGTTCTCCTGCTCCCCTGAGCTCCTTTTCACTGCAGATCACGTTTATCCTCATTGGTTCACTAATTGCCTGTTTTGTTCCCATTGCAATTGTATTTTGAAAGCGTGTATTGCTTACCTTTTAATTGAAAAGTTAGTTTTCCTTTAAATATATCAATTAAATTCCTATATTGCTCAAATAGCATCATATTAAAATTGAGACCTAGAGCCAGGTGCTGGCAGCTCATACTTTTCATCCTCGCTACTTAAGAGGCTAAAATCTGAGGGTCTCAGTTCAAAGCCAATCCTGGGCAGGAAAGTCTGTGAGTTTCTCATCTTCAATCAGCAAAAAGAGCCCGAAGCAAAGGATGGCTCAAGTGGTAAAGTGCTGAAGCACAAAAAACTTAGGGAAGTGCCTAGTCCTTGAGTTCAAGCCCCAGGACTGGCATAAAGAAATAAGAGCATTCAAAGTAAAAGCTCTCTGTATCTTTTATTATTTTTTTTATCTGTACATGTTGGTAGCATGCCTACAAACTTCTTTCTGGATAAACTTTACCTCAAAAGGTACCTACCAGCATGGAAGCTACTGGCTCTCCTCAGAGCCAGACTCTGAAGAGATGCCCAGGGGGTTCAGGTGCTACTACCTACCTGCACCTTGTGGTTGGCAGGGAAACCGCAAGTTTGGGACTGGAGGCCCGGCAGCCTGACCTGGGAAAAGAGCTCTGGAACACCGGGCTCTCAGGGAGGCACAAGGTGTCCCCCAGGGCTCACTTAGGGTGTCTCAGGGGAACCAAGACAGTGCGGGCTAGAGAAACACATGGAAATGCAGAAGAAGAAGAAATTAAAATTGTAAACTAGGGTAAGTATTGATGTGATTCCCCCCATTTATACACGTTTTATATACATTTCAGGTAGTCACTAAACCTTGGGACCTCAGCTGCACTAGAACGTCTTAGGATGAACTTTACTTATTTAGCCAGTTCTGGGACTTGAACTCAGGGCCTGGTTGCTGTCCCTGGGTCTCTCGGTGCACAAGGCTAGTGCTCTACCACTTGAGCCACAGCACCACTTCCAGCTTTTTCTGAGTAGTTTACTAGAGATAAGAGCTGAAGGACTTTCAAATCATTATCCTCAGATCTCACCCTCCTAAGTGAAATATCCCAGCGTCCCGGGGCCCGTGGGAATTCGAATCCAAGATCAGCGAAAGGAGTCACCAATACTCAATCAGCTAGGAACCTTTATTAGTCATGCTGTCTGACCTCCACTATACCGAGACAGCGAAGACCAGCCATGAAATCAAATAGCTCAGGGAATTTAAAGGCGAGATCCACTTGCAGGTGGTCAGCGGCAGTTTCATAACTGACAAAGCAGCAAGTTATAAATGGCATCAAAGCAGAGTGGCTAAGCCCTAACCATTTCCTGCAGGCATCCTGGTGCCTAGGCAGGCGATGGGGGCTGTGCACCCACTCCAAGGCTTGGGGGTCAAGCCTTCCTTTGAAGAGCAGATACCTGGCTCAGTGGGGTGTGAGCTAGGAGGGCTCTGCTTTAGCCTTTAGGAAACATTACCTCCCCAAATGGCAGAAAGCATTGCTAGAGAAAAGCGATCCTTAGAAATGCAGGTGCCTCGTTCCGCCATCCCGGTGCTTAACTCTACTGAGGCCTTTATTTTTGAAATTTAACATTTGGCACAATCTCAATCAACACAAATGATCGTTTCAGTAACTGTCAGGCCGCAGTCTTCTTCTATTCCAAGGTTCTGTACCTATATTTCTGAGGTTGCCGGGGACTTGTTCGTCCCAGGTAAATTTCCTTCTTCCTTGGTCTAATCCATACCCTATCTGCTTAATTTTGACCTGGTCCTAACAATTTCACATTTCATATTCTTTCTTCTGGGGGGGTGGGGCTGGTCGGCACACTAAGGAGCTAGGATAACAGGCGTGAGTCACCGGCTCCCAGCCATAACAACTCTTCTCGGACCTACAAGCTGGAACTCAAAGCAGCCCAGGCCACCGCCGGGAGGGGGGGGGGGGGTGCGCATGCGCCGTGGCCCCGCCCGGCTTGGGGCGGGGCCTGGCCGTGTGGAGGTGGGGTTTAGGCGCGCGCGTCTGCCGCTCTCGCCTCACCTGCGGCTCACGTGACCGCGTTGCCGGTCGGGTACCTTCGGGCGCGCTTCCTGGGCGCGGGGATTGAAGACACCTGTGCTCTCTCGGGTCTCGGGCGGGTCGGCGGTGAGCGCGGGTGGGGCGGGCCCGGGCCGCTGGCGTGGGCTCCGGTGCTTCCGTGCGGGGCGAGTTAGGCCTCGAGCTTCGCTCTGGGGAGAAGGCCGGCCGAGGTTGGGCGAGGGGCGTGCGCGGGCGCCTGCCTGCCGGCCGGGCTGTCGCGGGGAGTTAGCGGCGTGACGGCGGCCCGGGAGCGCGGCCCGGCGCCCGGCGAGGCTCCCGCGGCTCTCCGGCGCCGGCGCGGGACTCGGGGAGCGGCCCGAGCGTGCTTGGATCAGCTGTGTGAGCTGGCCCAGCTGGGCCCTGGAGGCTCGCCCGAAGCTCCACCTGCTCCTGGTGGCCGTCAGTGCGGTAACACGGGTGAGCACGACCAGCCTGTCGTGCTGGCCGTTTAAGGCTTTATTTGGGGGCTGAGGAGAAGACCGAAGTTCAGAGATACAGGAAAACGATGCTCTGTTCTGTGGTCGTGGCCGTGATACAGATTCCCTAAGTAGAGAGGACGAGGTTGGAAGTTGCAAGGCCTGAGGGCTGCCTCGGTCTACCATTTTTCCGCTGCTAGATTTTTAAGTTTTGGGGGTAGCATTTTTAGTATTTAGTTTCATTGTTTAGTTTGACCAAGGAGTTTCAATTCAACACGTCAATTTACAACCTGTTTTTGTGTGTGCGTGTGTGTATGTGTGCCTGTGCGCACGCTCCCGCGCACGAACACCTATCCTGAGGCTTGAACCCTGAGCAAATGTGCTGTCCCTGACTTTTATTATTATTTTGCATAAGGCTAGTGTTGAGCCACACCTCCACTTCTGACTTTTTTTTTTTTTTTGGTCGGTCGTGGGGCCTGAACTCTGGGCCTGGGCGCTGCCCCTCAGCTCTTCAGCTCAAGGTTAGCGCTCTACCACTTGAGCCACAGTGCCACTTCCAACTTCTGACTTTTAAAATGAAGATAAAAGTTTCAATGGACTTTCCTGCCCATTCTAGCTTCCACCTGAGTTTCTTAGATTTCAGCCTCCTGCGTAATTAGGATAACAGGCAAGTTCCCACCATGGCAACCTGGCTAATGTATCTTGATCAATGTTTCCCCTTGCATGAAGTGTGTCCTTTTATTTTGTTGGTCCTGGGGCTTCAATTCAGGGCCTGGGTACTGTTCCTAGCACCCTACCTCTTTGAGTCACAGCTCCAGTTTGGAGGTATTGGAGATAAGTCTCATGGACTTTTCCCCTGGGGCTGGCTTTGAACTGAAGTCTTCAGATCTCAGCCTCCTGAGTGGCTAGGATTACAGGCATGAGCCACCAGCTTGTGGAATGTGTCTTGATCAAGGACCTCCTGCAAGGTCCCCTCCCATCTGTTCCAACCCCACCCATTTCCCATTTTTACTTAAGTTCACTGAATAAGTTAGCATTATGGTCTTTTATTTCTAAACTTTTAATTTTTAATTTGAATCTATTACAGAGATTTCATTTTGATATTTCCGTGCATGCACACAACTCATTCACTACTTCTTAGCTTACTTTCTGACATTTGATATTAAATTATATAATACTTAAAGGCTAGAACTCAATGATATTGAAAAAATACTCAACAAATAATTTACTTAAGCACATTACAGTCATTTTTGGGCCTTTTGACAAAGTCAAGTGGATTTTAGAACATTAGGTACCTGTCCCTGTTATGGATACAGAAATGATCAAGGTGGATAAAGTACTACATTTGGGAATTTACCTTTTAATGTATGTTGGTGGGGAAAGAGAATTTGGATGCCTGATGATAGTAGTAATTGCTTCATTGAGAATTGAAAGGGGTAATGCACTTGCCAAGAGTAACTGCTTTCAGTTTGTGTCTGTAATTCCAGAATTTGTGAGATCACAGGTTCAAGGCCAGTCAAGCCATTTTAGGATTACTTAGACCATGTCTAATAAAGTTTGAGGAGGATTTTTTTTTTTTTTTTTTGGGTTCGGTCGTGGGGCCTGAACTCTGGGCCTGGGCGCTGTCCCTCAGCTCTTCAGCTCAAGGCTAGCGCTCTACCACTTGAGCCACAGTGCCACTAACGGCTTTTTTCTTTTTGCTTATGTGGTGCTGAGAAATTGAACCCAGGGCCTCATGCATGCAAGGCGAGCACTCTACCACTGAGCCACCTTCCCAGCCCATTGAAGAGGATTTTTTAAAATTTAAATTAAATTTTTTTTTTTTGTATTATGGGGATTGAACTCTGGGCCTGAGTGCTGTCCCTCAGTTCTTCAGCTCAAGGTGAGTGCTCTACCACTTGAGCCACAGTGCCACTTCCGGTTTTCTTGTAGTTTCTTGGAGATAGTTTCACAGCCTTTCCTGCTTGGGCTGGCTTTGAACTGCAATCCTCAGATTTCAGTCTCCTGAATAGCTAGGATTACAGGTGTGAGCCACTGACGCCCGGCTTGAGGAGGAAAGTTGAGGATTGAAATTGAGATCTAAATGAGTAACAAGATCCCAAGAGGAAAGAGGAGAAAGTATTTCAAGAAAACTGCTTTATGATGAATAAAGACCAGCTGGGCACCAGTGGCTCCTAGCTGTAATCCTAGCTACTCCGGAGGCTGAGATCTGAGGATCACAGTTCAAAGCCAGATTGGGTAGGAAAACTCTGTGAGACTCTTTTTTTTTTTTTTGGGTCCGGTCGTGGGGCCTGAACTCGGGGCCTGGGCACTGTCCCTCAGCTTTTCAGCTCAAGGCCAGCGCTCTACCATTTGAGCCACAGCGCCACTTCCGGCTTTTTTCTTTTTGCTTATGTAGTGCTGAGGAATCAAACCTAGGGCCTCATGCATGCAAGGTAAGCGCTCTACCACTGAGCCAACTTCCCAGCCCATCTGAAACTCTTATTTCTAATCAACCACCAGAAAACCGAAGTGGCCCTGTGGCTCAAGTAGTAGAGTGCTCGCCTTGAGCTGAAGAGTTCAGGGACAGCACCCAGGCCCAGAGTTCAAGCCCCATGACCACCACCAACAACAAGAATAAAGACCAGAGTGAATTCAACCAGAGAGACTAGAAAAACACAGGAAGAAGAGAAATTGAGGTCTGAGAGGTAGGCAGGAAAGAATCAGATCATAAAAGATTTTGTAAACCATAGGGAGAAATTTGTATTTTATTTTTGAGTTTGTGAACTTTTTCTTTTAAATACAATCTGGCTAGGTCTGGTGGACTTGGAGTGGGTTCTTCACCTCATATCTTTTGTATCATTGTATTCTTTCATCAGACAAAATGGCAAACCAAGATAATAGTTCTATACTGCCTTTTACATTTTGAATACGACTTTTGTTATTTTTTGTTGTTGGTTTTAGAGCTTGAACTCCTGATCTCTTCAGCTGAAGGCGGAGCCTGGCTTTTGTTAGTTTTTGATTAACAACTTATACAGTGTGTCTTAAAGGCAGAGCAATAGCTTTGGCTCTCCCATGTGGAAGGAATGTGTTAAATTAGAAACCCTTAGCTGGGAGCTGGTGGCTCACACCTGTAAGAGGCTACGACCGAGATCACTGTTCAAAGCCAGCCCGGGAGAAAAATCTGAGACTATTTCCAATTCCTGAAAACCGGAAGTGACTCTGTTTGCTCCAAGTGGTAGAGTGTTAGCTTTGATTGAAAGAGCTCAGGCATAGCCCTAGGTCTTGAGTTCAAGCCCCAGGACTGAAAAAAAAAAGTCTTTTGAGATTAGCAGATCTGAAAGGCAGATGAGGCAGTGTTGTGAATTCATTAGTTATGAAAAAAAGCTCCAAAAATGAAATAAGTATCTGAGGTTTTGAAAGTTCAACATCCATTAGTTTGAAGTTACTTATCTAGGTTCTTTGTCAGGAATTGTAGAATTTTACTGGTAGGTTTGTCTGTGAACATACAGATGAAAGTCTTATGAATGTTTTCCATCTTCCCAGATAATAGATTACCCTTTAAAAATATCAGTGTAGGGCTGGGAAGATGGCTCAGTGGTAGAACGCTTGCCTTGCATGCCTGAGGCCCTGGGTTCGATTCCTTAGCACCACTTTAGCAAAATGGAAAAAAAGCCAGAAGTGGCACTGTGGCTCAAGTGGTAGAGCGCTAGCCTTGAGCTGAAGAGCTGAGGGACAGTGCCCAGGCCAGAGTTCAGGCCCCACGACCGGACCCAAAAAATAAAAAATAAAAACAAATAAAAATATCAATGTAGGAGCTTTCATGGATCAGGCTCTTTTATGTGAGCTTTTAGTTGTATTATCCAATTCCTAGGATGATATAACCTTTACCTATTTCAAAATTGCAGGCTATTTTTCTTCAAATAAAGAACATGGTGAAACTGGTTTGTACATTAGCTGATCATGGTGATGATGTCAACTGCTGTGCCTTTTCCTTCTCCCTCTTGGCTACTTGCTCCTTGGACAAAACAATTCGCCTGTATTCCTTAAGTGACTTTACTGAATTGCCACATTCGCCATTGAAGTTTCACACCTATGCAGTCCACTGCTGCTGTTTCTCCCCTTCGGGACATGTTTTGGCATCCTGTTCAACAGATGGAACCACTGTCCTGTGGAATACTCAAAATGGACAGACCTTGGCAGTCTTAGAACAGCCAGGCGGTAGCCCCGTGAGGGTTTGCTGCTTCTCCCCAGAATCCAGTCGTTTGGCATCAGGGGCAGCTGATGGAACTGTTGTTTTGTGGAATGCACAGTCCTACAAGGTATATAGGTATGACTATTTAAATCATTTTCATTTTTAATCTTGTAAACAAGGCATAACAGAAAGGAAAGCAGAGAGCAAAATATTTAGATAACTTTGAGAAAAAGGTGGTTTTCAGGTAGCACAAGGAATATTTGACTTGCCTTCTGAAGGTAAAACACACATGTTTAATAGGAGTCTTGTGGTAGATGTATTTGGCTTTGAGTTTTAAATTTCTCTCTAAAATACAGAGGAGATCTGAGGGATTACAGTTGAAATCAGACTTGGCAAGAAAGTGTGAGATTCTAATCTCCAATTGACCGCGAAAAGCTGGAAGTGGAGCTGTGGCTCAATTAGTAGAGTGCTAGCCTTGAGCAAAAAGGTTCAGGGACAGTACCCAGGCCCAGAGTTCAAGCCCCAGGACTGACATGTGCGTGCTTACACACACATACACACAAACGTAAACATAAATACCAAATGATTTAGCCTTGTTAAACTCATACAAATTTTTACTTGTAAGAGTTAGGCAAGGGAAACAGTCTTTTGAATAAGGGTCAGTAAAGTTTAGATTTATTTGTGTCATTTATGGCTCCAGTATTTTTAGTAATAATGGTCACTAAGCCCTACTGAAGAGATACAGCCATTATTTTACTGACTGGGAACAACTAAGCTCAGACAAAAGAACTTAAAGACTGATGAGATGATATAGATCTATTGTTTATCTCTAGGAAAAAATATGCACCTGAAGAACTCTTTTGAAAATATTAGTTTACATTGGTAATGTTATGTTGCAACTTAACATTCAACCTTTTATTTCTTTTTATGTTTATTGTGGCAAAATATACATAAAAACTTGTTATCTAATAAACAGCATAATGAAGAATAAAATGCATAGGAAGTATAAAATGCCATTTTACATAGAATCTATCAGCTAAGGAATCATTGTTTTCACTTATCAGGTGATGATTATTATCTCTAACATACCCTGTTAATGCATATAATTAGTGCTGTAGTGATTAATAGCATTTTCTTTTTTTAAATTTGGTTGGTATTGCAGTTTGAACTAGAGCTTCATGCTTGGCTTGCTTAGCTGGTGCTCTACCACTTCATATTGCACCTCCTACCCAGCTTTTTTGTTACTGATTTTGGAAATGGAGTCTGTTCCAGCTGGCTTTGAACTTTGATCCTCAAATCTAAGTCTTCTGAGTACATAAGATCATAGGAATGAGTCAGTAGGGCAAGGCTGTGGGTTTTTACCAGTTGATTTTTTTCCTGAGAAAATAATATAAGAACAATGCTTCCTTCTCTTTCTAAGATAATTGTAATTTATCACAGCATTTTCTTTTCATATGTTTCATTTGAAGATGAAAGGCCTTACTGTTATATCTAGGTAATGATTTTAATACAGAAGTAGGAACTGCTTTGACCACAGTAACAAGTTTCTTAATAAAAATTGTTTTTAAGACTATGACTATACTTGTTACTATTAGTTTTTTAAGTTTTTTCTTATATTTTAATGTGTATCATAGTAACTTGCTATATGGGAAAAGATGAAGAAGTGGACTTGAGTTTAGACTGCCATAATTTAGACGTGAATATATTTGGATATAATTATTAAATCATTTTAGAAGGTATGTCTCAGTTTATAACAATACTTTATTTCTACAGGTATCAGTTGCCCATTCCAGTTATGTGACAGCCATTTATCTTTTTTTTTTTTTTTTTTAACTATTGTAAAGATGCCCTGAAATGGACCTTTCCTTCCCTTTTTGTGCTTTTCAGATGTGGTAGTGTTAAGGATGGCTCCTTGGTAGCCTGTGTCTTTTCTCCTAACGGAAAGCTCCTTGTCACTGGCTCTTCATGTGGAGATTTAACAGTGTGGGATGATAAGATGAGGTGTCTTCATAGTGAAAAAGCTCATGATCTTGGGATTACCTGCTGCGATTTTTCTTCACAGCCAATTTCTGGTTAGTTATTTTACTTCTTTTAAGCACTAGAAATCAGTAGTCTGTATGTGACTTTTTGTACTTTTTTTTTCCATCATTAATAATGTGACTAGTGTTCTCTGTCTTCTAAGGAATCTTCTATCTTTTTAGATCAAAATGAAATCATTAAAAATATGAAAAACCCACATTTTCTAGTATTTGTGGGGGATTTTTCTTTTTCTTTTTTCCAGTCATGGGGCTTGAACTCTGGGCCTGAATACTGTTCCTGAGCTCTTCAGCTCAAGGCAAGCGCTCTACCACCTGAGCTACAGCACCACTTCCTGTTTTCTGAGTGGTTTATTGGAGATAAAAGTCTCATGGACTTTCCTGCCCGGGCTGGCTGGGCTTTGAACCGAAATCCTCAGATCTCAGCCTCCTGAGTATCTAGGATTACAAGCATAAGTCACTGGTGCCCGGCTTTTGGTACAGTTTACATAGTATAAAAACCTTAGAGGACTTAGCCCCATTGCTTATACTGTGACTTTTTGCCCCCCATACTGGGTCTTGAATTCAGGGTCTAAGTCCCTGAACTTTTCGCTCAAGTCTAGTGCTCTACTACTTGAGCCACAGCTCCCATTTCCTGCTTTTTGGTGGTTTATTGGAGATTAGAGATTTTCCTATCTGGACTGACTTTTGCTCTTAGCCTCTTGTAGCTAGAATTACAGGCATGAGCTACTAACACCTGGATATACTGTGGTTTTTATTCTCATTTATTGAGTAACATATTTTGTTCTAAAAAGATGTGGCAAGGGGCTGGGAATGTGTCTTAGTGGTAGAGTACTTGCCTAGCATGCGTGAAGCCTTGGGTTCAATTTCTCATGGGCAGAAAATTTCCACATAAACAGAAAAGGCCGGAAATTGGAACTGTGGCTCAACTGGTAGATCTCTAGCCTTGGGCACAGAGAGGCTCAGGGACAGAGCCCAGGCCCTGCTTGAGTTCAAGCCTCAGGACCAGGGGGGAAAAAAGTGGTAAATATAAGGAATTGGCTTATATTCATTAAGATCTCCATGAAAGTTTACATTTTTGTCAGAACCTGTACTGTAAAACTAAAATGTTCCAAGCCAGCTCAAGCAGGAAAGTCTGTGAAACTTATCTCCAATTAACTGCCCCAAAAAGCCAGAAGTGAAGTTATAGCTCAAGTGGTAGATCTCTAGTCTTGAGCACAAAAAAAGCTTAGGGACAGCACCCAGGCTTGAGGACTGGTATGCTCATGTGCATGTGCACACACGCAAATACAAAATCCCAAAATGCTGTTAGAATATGCCTGTTTTATGGTGTTGGAGAAGACTTGAGTGAAATGGAAGTTCATATACCGTACGTTAAGAGAGCATATATGCTTTCAATAAGTCAGACTGTAGGAAAAATGTACCTTATAATACCATCTGAATATTTGTAAACCACAAAGTAGTCTTAAAATGGATATCAGTTGTTTCATTCTGCTTTACTTTTTTTTGGGGGGGGGGGGGCGGGGGGTTTGGTGGTAGGGCCTGAACTCTGGGCCTGGGCGCTGTCCCTCAGCTCTTCAGCTCAAGGCTAGCGCTTTACCACTTGAGCCACAGTGCTACTTCCGGCTTTTTATTTTTTCTGCTTATGTGGTCCAAGGCAAGCACTCTACCACTGAGCCACCTTCCCAGCCCTCATTCTGCTTTACTTTTTACATGCCAGAACTGTCTCTGATGAAATGCGTTTGTGATATTAGGTGGAACTCTGTGTGAGATTGAGTTGGTGTTGTACAAATATTTCAGGACTTAAGCTAGTCAATATGTAATGATATACTGAAATTCTCTTAAGCATTAATTAGTGGCTTTTTGAGTTGCCAAGTTTATTTAATTACTTTGTCTAAATTGTGTAATATTTTCCACCAAACAAGCTGAATTGATGTTATTTTACATTTACACAATTTCAACCTTAAAGCCAATGGAAAACAAATCCCCATTGTTATTGAGTGAAAAATTCAGCAGCCTTTTTAAAGAGAAAGTAGCTACATTGGATATGATTAACTATTTACTATTCTTATCATAACTGTCTCATACATTTTCTGTTAGCAGTAGTTTCAGAACCTCAAATATACCCCATGCTAGTGACTCAGTATTGGCTGTTGCAGCCTTTAGTCATAGCCATAAAACCTTTTATTATAGCAAGTTCAGGTCTATTGCTGTGATCCTGTGTTTAAATGAAATCCTTTAACCTATGTTTTGTTAGATAATTTTGTTAGATAATCTAACAATATTTGTTAGACAAATATTGTTTGTTAGTATGGCTTAAATGAATAATGAAATCTTAGTATGACAAATTGATTTTTTAAAGTATTTTGTTATGTCTTTTTAATTTTTTAAAAACAAATTTTCTATTTAGATGGAGACCAAGACTTTCAGTGCTTTCGATTAGCATCATGTGGCCAGGATTGCCAAGTCAAAATTTGGATTGTTTCTTTTACCCATCTTTTAGGTATGTTCAAACTAGTATTTATTATTTGCGATCTGGATAAAATTCGAGTTAATCTTTGTTATGTATGGTACTTTGGATATTTGAAAGGGATTGTAAAAATCAGTTTTAAGAAATTTTTATTCAAAGTAATACATACATATGCTTTAATTATCTGATACTGACTTCACTCTTCCTCCACATGTACACTACTACTTGGCAGAAGTAGGGACTTGACATTGATGTGTTTGTAGATCTTGATGGTTTTTCACTTTCTGTAAATATTACTTAGCCACCGTGTCTTCTATTCATTATGGTTACTAACTATTCTGTGTGATGGTGAGTCTTTTCTCCATGGATTACTCAGTTTCCTTTGGTGACCCTTTATGTCAAGCTTATGTTGTTACATTTTGGAATATGGCACTTCTTTGTTGTTTCTCTAGTGATTCTTCTTTCCCTCCCTCTCTTTCTTTTAACTCCAGTGGAATGTTGGACCCTGATCTCTATGACTTTTCTGTGAATGTCTTTTTTTCTTCCTACATGTATCTTACTGTATATATTTTTACTTTTTGAAAAATAATTCTCAACTTTTTATTTAAACTTTCTTGAATATTTTTGTCTTATCAATCATATATTCAATTTCTAAAATATGTTTCCATTTTATAATGTCCTTTCATGAATGTGAGATTGTCTCAAAACTCTCAGGATACCAATTAGGAGAACTTTAAGTTCCCTTGTGTATCCCTATTGGACACTTTGTTTTTCTTTTTCTGATCCTTCTCATTCATATTGTTACCCTCTTCAAATGTCTGTTGATCCTTAGTATTCTGTTTCTATTTTTGTGTGTGTGCTAGTACTTCTAGTTGGGTCTTCTCACTATTGCTCACTTTTTTATGTTCATGGCTAGTACTCTACCACTTGAGCCATACCTCCACTTCCAGCTTTGTGGTAGTTAATTGGAGTTAAGAGTCCAGAATTAATCTTCCTGGGCTGGCTTCAAGAGAGCCTCAGATCTCAGCCTCCTGAGTAGCTAGGTGTGAACCACTGGTGCCAGGCTATTTTGTATTTTTTAATTTTTGTTGGTCATGGGGTTTGAACTCTGGGCCTGGGGGCTGTCCCTCAGCTCTTCAGCTCAGGGTTAGTGCCTTACCACTTGAGTCACAGCACAACTGCCAGTTTTCTGGTGGTTTATTGGAGATAAGAGTCTCACATACTTTTCCTGCCCTGGCTGGCTTTGAACTGTGATCTTCAGATCTCAGCCTCCTGAGTAGCTGGGATTATAGGCGTGAGCTATTGGTGTCCAGCTTTTCTATTTATATCTTAAGAATTGGACAGTGAGATGTTAGAAGCTGGGCTTTCAGAATGAAAAGAGGGGAAACTGGCCCTTTTGAGAAAAGGGTTGAGAGCAAAGAGGATGGAACTTTTCAGCCCCAGAGTTCCTTGTACAGTTTCTATTTTTCTTAGAAGAGTGGTACCTGGGGTAAGATCAAGAAGAGATTGACATTGAATATTCTGTATTCATACTTTAAGTTTTTCTATTTCCAATTCTGTGTCTGTCTATTACGCTGATTCTGTTGACAGTCTTGAGGAATTCTTTAGGATAGAATACTTGTGGCTATAGCTCCCTCTCTTTGTACTCTGTGCCGACATTTCTGTCTACTGCCTCGTTAATCTGTTTGTTGTTGTTGATAGTACTGGGGCTTGAGCTCAGAGCCTTGTGTTCTTGTCCTTGCTAGGCAGGTGCTTTATCACTTGAGCCATGCCCCTAACCCTTTTTGTTTTATTTTTGAAATAAGCTCTTTTTGCCCATGCCTGCCTTGCTTCTGATCTTCCTATTTGTTTCCTGAATGGCATAGCTGGAATAGGTTTGTTCCACTTTGCTTAACTTGCTTATTTTTGAGAGAGAGTCTTTCTTGAGAACTTTTTTGCTTGAGCTGGCCTTGAACCATAGTCCTCCAAAACTCCACCTCTGAAATAGCTATAAGTACATGTGTGAGCCACTGCCTTAGCTCAGTTAATCTACATTCTGACTTCCCAAAATTGGTTTCAGGTTTTGGTTTGTTGATGCTTCCTTTCCAGGCTCTTCAGTCAAGTGTATATTTAAACATTTGTTCCGTATTATTTTAATGGGACTCTTGAATTTTTGTGGTCAATTGCCTCAAATTATTTTAGCCTTACCTGATAAGGTTTAGTTAAATCATAAAATAGTTTTTGTGGGGCTGGGAAAGTGGCTCAGTGGTAGAACCTTGCCTTGCATGCATGAGGCCCTGGGTTCGATTCCTCAGCACCACTTAAGAAAAAAGCTGGAAGTGGCTCAAGTGGTAGAGCTCTAGCCTTGAGCTGAAGAGCTGAAGGATAGCGTCCAGGCTCAGAATTCAGGCCCCACAACCAGACCCCCCCCCTAAAAATAGTTTTTGTTATTCATGATTATGCTATTATATTGAGAAAAGCCTGTTAGGAAATAAATACACACGTTTTGGTGAAAATTACTATTAGATTTCCTTTTTTTAAAAATCTTTTAGCAGTATTGGGATTTGAGCTCAGGGCTTCATGTTCAATATGTTCAACATGTAGATACTTCATTGCTTGAGTCACACCTCCAATCCTGTGTGCTTCATCTGTTTACTTTTTGTGTGAGCCAGCCTGGAAGTGATTCTCCTGTTTATGTTCCCTGTTACAGCTGGGATGATAGGTGTGTACCACCACACCAAGCTTCTATCTGGTGATATAGAATCTCATGTGCTTTTTTTCTTCTTCCTTTTCTTTTCTTTTCCTTTCTGTGTCTAGCTGTTGGTTTAGATGTGATGTTTTGAACTTTTTACCCAAATTGCTTCAAGCTTCATTCTTCCCCATCTTTACTTCTGGGTAGCTGGGATTAGCTCTATGCTTTAATGCCCACACCTATTCTCCCATGTTAAAAAAAAAAATCCTGTTTCAAGCTTGGAACTTTGGTTGTTCTCATAAGATATTTGTTTAGCTTAATATTTGCAGTCCTCTTTAAGAAGCATTAACACCTCAAAACAGGTTGTATTGTGTCTGATTTATAGAGTTCACTTATTTTCTTGCTCTCAGGCTAACTTTTTTTTTTAATTGTGAAAATACCATACAGAGGGGTTACAATTACATGGGCAAGGTAATGAGTACATTTATTATCAAGCATTGTTGCCTCCTCCTTTGTTTCCCCTTCCCATCCCTTCCCATTCCCTCCCATCACTCCCCTCCCCCGCCAAAGTTTGTAAAGTTTGTTTTACCACATAATGTCTTGCTTGTACATCTCATTGTTGCAATGGATCAACCTGTATCCCTATTTAAACAATTTGTTTTTTCCCTTCCCCTCCACAAATTATGCCAACATCAAATACAGTGAAACAGGGGTTATACTGTGGGGCAGGGACATACAAAGCAACAAAGAAATCATCTTATAAATATGTTAGAAACAATCGCATGAAAGAAAAAAACATTTGAATCCTTATCTTGGAGTTCATTTCGCCTAACATCAACTTATCTGACCATTTCTGCTTGTCTCAGACATATACTAGTAATTGCAAATAAGGGAAACCATGGGACCTATGTTTCTTTGGGCCTGGCTTACTTCACTTAATATAATTTTTTCCAAGTCTTTCCATTTCCTAACAAATGGAGCAATGTGATTCTTTCTGATGGAGGCATAGAATTCCATTGTGTATATATACCACCTTTTCTTGATCCATTCATCTACTGAGTCTTGATCCATTCATCTACTGAGAAACTGCTTAATTATTTTTATAGATTGTCACCAAAACATACTGAATTCTCTTTGGTTTACCTTTAAAAAGAATTGTGGGATTTTTCAGTAACTCTAGTAAACGTAAAAAGTATTTCAGTTTTACTACACTTTTTTAAGAGTGTTAGAGAAATATTGTCATAAAAGATGATTGTTTTTATTTACTGAATTTGAAAATGATTTGCTAAATTCAGATTTTACAAAATATAAACTGTTAATCTTTTAGTCTTTTAAACAGTTTGCCTGCTTTTTACTCAGGTACTGAAATTGGTTGTAATACAGTGTAACTGTTTAGAAATAATTTGGTATTTATAAAAGTGCCCTGTATAGTCTTTGCTGAGCACAGTATTTGAATCTGTTATTGAATTTTTTAATAATAATAGTACCATATCCAAGGGTTTCCTTATAAATAGATATCTGAGCTGCAAGAGAATTTTCAAATTTTGTTGTTTTTTTGGTGCTCGAAGATTATTGAATATTTAAGTAAAACAGTGTTGCCTTAAAAATGAACTCTGAGCATAAGTAGTTTGATAATGTTTCTTCACTTTATTAATTGCAGGTTTGAAACTGAAATATAAAAGTACACTGAGTGTTCACTGTGCCCCTGTTCTGGCTTGTGCCTTTTCCCATGATGGGCAGATGCTAGTTTCAGGGTAAGCGTTTCATTTAATTTTCTTAAGCAATTTGAATGTGGAATAAAACAAATAGAAAAGTATAGAAACTCAAAGACTAGCTAATGAATTACTGTGTTGCAAACCTGTGTAGCCATACCCCATGTCAGGAAGTAGAACATTGTAGATTCTGCACCAGAACCCCTTTTCTTCTAGTGCCCCTTTCTAGTGACAGCACACAGGTCATATGATAGAGCATTCCTATTTTTTTCTTTTAAACTGTTTTAAAACCAGTTACACAATATGAGTTATTTTTGGGTTTGACCTCTTTCTCTCAAAATTATACTAATAGCATTCCTTTATATCACTGCATTTAACTGTTTTGTTTTTCTTTATTGCTGTGTAATATTCCATTGCATGGACATATCATTAAATATATAATCAATTTTAATGTTATAGCCACATGGATTATCTCTAGTTTGGAAGCATCATTATAATTATGTGAGTGCATTGTGTTTGGTGCATATGCTAAGGCATTTCATAGGAATAGAATTGTTAGGTCATAGTTTGGAATTTTCATTGTCAATCTTAATAGGTAACACCAAACTGTTTCCTAGAGGGTTGAACAATGAATACAAATATATTGTTTTATGTTCTAACTTGTACTTGGGGTGGTCCTTCAAATTTTAGAATTCCAGTGGATGTGTTATCTAGTGGTTTTAGTTTTAGTTTTTTTCCCAAAAACAATGATGTTGAGACTTCTTTAGAAATTTATGTCTGTTATTTATGTCTGTTTTCTCTCCGATGAAGTGTGTGTCCCTTTCTCTTTTCAGTTTTGTTATAGATTGTCATCTTTTTTGTTATGAGTTTCTATATACTTCTCCATATGAACCATTTGTTGGTATTCTCAAAAATACCTTTTCCATTCTCTAAATTTTCCTAATTTGGCTGGGTGTCAGTGTCTCATTCCTATAATCTTAGCTATTTAGGATGTTGAGATCTGAGGATTGCAATTCAGAGGTAGCCTGGATAGACTCTTCTGGAGATGTGGCTTAAGTGCTCTCCTTGAGGACAAAAAAGTCAAAAGAGAGTGTGAGGTACTGAATTCAAGCCCCAGTATACTAGTACACACAGAAAAAGTTTCATCATTTTGTAGTTAATGTTCTGAGGCCATAATTGGTCTGCAAAATGTCAATCTGTTGCTTTGTTGCAGCTAATGAGCATATCATTTTGGTGTACTGTTATAGGGAAGTTAAGTTTCATTTTAATGTATTCCTTTGGCTGTAATTAATATTTTGTTCAGTTTGCTAGGTATTCAAGCTTCTTGAATCTGTGGAACTACTTTCATTAGTTTTTGGAAAGTTTTATTATCACCTCAATATTTTCTTTTTCTGTCTTTCCTTTAATTCTGGGACTTGAGTTAAATGCAAAAATACCTTCTAACTGTAAACTTTGTCTGTATCCTCTCTTCTGTATTTTTTGTTTCTGCTTTCTTACACTTAATTCTTTTTATTCTTTATTTTTGTTGGTCATGGGGCTTGAACTCTGGGCCTGGGTGCTGTCCCTCAGCTCTTCAGCTCAAGGCGAGCACTGTACTGCTTGAGCTACAGTGCCACTTCCGGTTTTCTAGTGGTTTATTGGAGATTGGAGTCTCAAGGTCTTTCCTGCCATGGCTGGCTTTGAACCTCAATCTTCAGATCTCAGCCTCCTGAGTAGTTAGGATTACAGGCATGAGCCACCGGCGCCCAGCACACTTAATTCTTGACTCCCCTTTTCTAATTCTCGCTTCAGTGTGCTATTTTAATAGTATTGCATTAGGTTTTACATTAGCTTATGTTTTGGTTCTAGAATTTATTTTTTTAATACTACAGTGTCATTCTTTTTGTGATTGACTATTTCTGTTGATTTTAACATACTTTATTGTATAAAGCACTTGATTTGAGCACAGTAGCCCAGGCCCCAGTACCAACACAGAAAAACAGAAATCTGTGACCTAGAATTTAAATCACTGGAAAGTTGAAGCCACGTCAAATTTCCTTTTGTTGTTTGGAGAACTGTTTTATTAATCAACTGGTTTTCCCCTTCCTTTCTCTACATTTGTCATATAGTAACTTATTTTTATCTCTTCTGCCAAACATGCTACCCTCTTCCTCTTGATCCAGCCAGAAAAAAGGGACTTTGTATGAATAACTTTCTACTCAGCAAGAGCTCCATTTTTTTAAATTGTTTGTTTGTTTTGAATGGTACAAGTACTGGGGCTTGAACTCAGGGCCTGGGTGCTGTCCCTGAGCTTTTTGCCTCAAGGCTTAGTGTTCTGCCACTTGAGCCACCCTCAACTTCTGGCTTTTTGGTGGCTAATTGGGGATAAGAGTCTCACAGATTCTCCTGCCTGGGCTGGTTTTAAACTGTGATCCTCAAATTTCAGCCTTCTAAATTGGTAGGATTACAGGAGTTCTGTCTTTATGATTCATATAGTGGCTATTCTTTCTGTAAAAATTCAGTAGATAAGGTTCTTGGAAAACAGTTTTTCAAGTGCTTACAGTAGTTAGTTTTAAGAATTAAATAAATCATACCCTGTTTTCTTCTTTTTGAGTTGAAAACTGGTGAGAAACAGGGTGAATGGATAGCAGGACTTCCAATCTGCAACCAACTTTCTCAACTGCTATGAGTCAATATGGCCCATTGTTGACTTTTCTTGAAGGGGCAGATTAGAAAAATCCAGGAGTGGAAACACATGATCCAGGGGTTTCCCTCAGATGCCACAGTCATCTGTCATTCTTTTCTGGCTGAGTAGGTGAGAAAGAAGTGGCCAAAAATCTTTTTTTTTTTAAAATTTTATTGTAAGGGTTATATACGTAGGGATTACAGTTTCATAAGTCAGGTAATGAGAACATTTCCTTTTGAACAGTGTCACCCATTCCTTCATTTTCTCCCAGTTTTTCCCTTTCCATCCACCCTCTCCCCCCACTCCCTCGCCCAAGTTGTATAGTTCATTTCTAATACAGTGTCTAGTGAATAGAAAAATCTTATTTCAGTGAGAACAGGACATTGTCTCCTGTATTCCAAACAATATGGTTATTTATTTTGTAAGTAGATGATAGAGTTCTTTTGTTTTGAATCAGAAGTGGTTTTAATGAACAACCATCTCTTACTCAGTCAAGACTAACAGAAGGCATAAGATCTTCTTTCCTAAAATTCAATCTTTTTTTTTCTCTTAGTATTGTCTAAAGTAGTACTAACAGTTTCTGTTCTCTTAATAGAGAGCTACCAAGATAACTAATGATGATCCTCCTTTACAAGTAATATTTCACGGAGTTTTTGGTTTTTTTTGTGTGTGTCTGTGTGTGGTACTGGAATTTGAATTTAGAGCATTTTACAATTTAACTCATGCCCCTAGACTGTTTTGCTTTATTTTTCAGATAGGGCCTCCTGTTTTATTTTACCTGGCTAGCCTATATCTTTTATGTACCTGGGATGACAGGTATGTGCCACTGCACCCAGCATTTTTGTTGAGAAGGAGTCTTGCTAACTTTGTGCCTGGGCTGCCCTCAATCTGTGATCTTCCTGATTTCCCTCTCTCATATAACTGAGTGGAGATAGTTTTAATTACAACTTGTGGTAGACTCAAAGGAGGAATTTCCTTTTCATTTTGTTGTTGGTTTTTGATACAAGTAAGGATTATATTCCTAATTGTACCCCCATTTAGAAAGACCATTTTCTATGTAAGCTTAATGTGTCTGGGCTCTTATCACCAAAAGGAATTTTTTTTCTTTAGAAGCTCCAGGCTTAAGCAGAGTGGGCATTAATTGACTGGTTTTCTTATTTGTCTTCATGATATCCTTAAAAATAATGTTTGATGTACTCTCGGTTTGCAGCCATTCTGCTGTAGCTAAACACTTGTTTTTTATTTCTTTTTAAAGGATGCATAGAAGTAATTTTTAACAAGTGCAGAAATAAAAACCCATGTCTAGAGAAATTTAGAACTGAATATTTTTATCATTTAGATACTTACATAGTCGGTAACATTTTCGTTCGCTTTTCAGAATTGTGACTTGCCCTCATCCCTTTTTGTTTTAGTTTGTTTTTGATAGTGGCTTGTACTTTTGCCCAGGCAGTCTTGGACCACAATCCTCCTACCTCTGCCCTCTGAGTAGCTAAAACTGTAGGTATACACAACTATACTAGGGTTGATTTTTGAGATAGAATCTCACTAACTGGGCCAGCCTTGAATCCTGATCTGTCTATTTCTGACTCCTAAGTAACTGGGACTGTAGGCATGCATTAACACGCTCAACTTTGCTAAAATTATTTTTCACTGTTTTGGATTTTTTTCATACCCAGAATATACTATATGCATGCCATCATCTTAAATTACGTTTTGTATTTGAATTTCTACAGCATAATTCCTATTTTAATTTTATGACAAAGATTTTGAAATCTCCATTGTGTGTATGCTGGTACTGAGGCTTTAGTGCAGGGTCTGGGTTCTGTACCTGAGATTTTTCACTCATGGCTGGTGCTTTGCTAATTGAGCCACAACTCCACTTATGGCTATTTGCTATTTAATTGGATGAGAGAGTCTCATGGTCTTTCCTACCTGGTCTGGCTTCAGACCACCATTTTCAAAACTCAGTCTCCTGTGTAGATAGGACTACAGGCATGAACCACTGGCACTGAACAAGGAATTAAACTTTTAATTTTGTGACCCTTGTTGTCAGACTATAATCAACTACTGTTTTAATAACAATATGTACCTGTTTTATTATGCAAGGACCAGTAACACTAGTCTTGCTGATCTTGTTTCTCACCTGTATATTATAGATGCATAAACCCTGCTTCCAAGGGATATGTGCTAGAAATGGTCACTTTTCTTTTTTGCTTTATAACTTGTGTACCTTATATAATACTGTATTTTCCTTTGTATTGTGATCTTTTTTCCCCCGAAAGAATAATCCCAGTAAAATAGTCAACATCTAGTGCAGAACAGTGTACCAAAATAGGTATAATCAAAACGTGTGCACTGATTATCCACAGTAAAGAACAAAACTTTCTGAAACAACAGAGTAGCAGCAGGTTATAGCTTTTCCTTGTAATTATTTTTCCCTTTGAATTACTAATGATATGAAAATTGTGTCTTAATTATAGATAACAGGTGCTTGATCTGGTTATATCTATGAAGTGTACGAAGCATGTGCTATTGTTTTCATAATGTCAATTTTCTGATAAATTTTATGTTTGTAATGTTTTTAAATAAAATTCATTTATATGAAGAAAGACACTATTCTAAATGTTAATATGTTACTACTTCAGTTTTTTAAGTCTAAAACTATTTAGAAATACTGATTACATAAATGCATTTTGTTTTAAAGAACTTTTTACTCATCTCTTTTTTTCTTTTAAAGATCAGTGGATAAGTCTGTCATGATATATGACACTGTAAGTATTTAAACATCTTGTGTGTGTAAGCTATTTGTTTAGTATATAACTAAACTGCATTTTATTAAGTATGATAGAAAAAAGTATATTCTGTCTGCTATGCCCAAGAATATAATATATACATTCTCACAAATGGTAAACTATGCAAGTAAGAAATTTGTTCTGTGACAGATTCTTAAGTATTTTACTAAACACTTTAAGATGGATGGATTTAAAAATCTAATAGAAAATGCAGATTGAAAGAGCGCTAATATTAAAAAAAAATCAGTTATTAAACTTTTATACCAAGCTCTGTAATAGCAAAGAATTACTTCTCCAGCAATTTTGGAGCATATAGTTGAAATACGTCTACCTTTCTTAGAGTCCTAGAGTAGATTTACAATCTAGTGCAGGAAAAATTATTGTAGACTTGGAAAAATGATTTTTTTACAGGCAAAGATAGAGTTGGTAAAAATATTCTTAAGGAGAAAAATGAGTGCAGAGTGGAGCCTCATAATGATTGAGTTTGAGCAGCTATGGCAGCAAATCAGTGGAGACATAAATCATCAACATGTGGTAGGTCAAGCAAGTGAAGTGGTCCTCCACACACAAGTTAAACTCAGTGAAAATTTTGGCAGGAAGTGGCACCTAATTCTTAAGCAATATGAAGTAGGTCCCTAATATTTCTCATCAAATTAATGAGATTTTTACTTTCACAAAAGTTTTAACATTAAGGTTTCTCTGTATAATATATACATGTCCAGTTAAATACATCTGTAAGCTCACTGGCTACCTAGTGTACTCAAAGTATAAATGATTATATTTTTATTTCTTGATTCTGTAATATGTAAAGTCAATGCCTTAGCACAAATACAAATTTTTTCATGTAATAGATTATCAGTAAATGCCAAGTATTTGTTGTTTTAAAACTTTCTAAGAAGATAGTAGACAATAATATTGATGATTGAGAAAGTAACATAAGTTCTTGATAATACTACTCTAAATATCATTTTCTGTTATTCACTGAGCAAACTTTTAACTTACGTTAGTGATTAATATAAGAATACATATAGCATATGAACTATGTATGGTAAAAGAATGTCAGCAACTTTTCTGTTGCCTTAGTGAATATAAAGCTTTTTTTTTTTTTTTTTTTTTAAGAATACTCAGAATGTACTTCACACATTGACTCAGCATACCAGGTTTGAACTTAACCTTACTTTGTGTTAGTATAATTTTAAAAAATTAGCCAGAAGATATGTAAACAGTTATTTTTGTTAACTAGGTATGTCACAACTTGTGCCTTTGCACCCAGTACCCTTTTACTGGCTACCGGCTCAATGGACAAGACAGTGAACATTTGGCAGTTTGACCTAGAAACAGTTTCTCAAGGTTAGTAAGGATTTTATCTTTAATCCAGGTTATTCCTACTCACAATTGAAAGCAAAAGTTTAATCTCTCCCCCCCCACCTCCCCTTTCTCTTCTCTCCTTCCCCTCCTTTCTTTCCTCCCTCCCTTTATCCCCTTTTCTTCCTCTCCCCTTGCTCCTCCTCCTCCTTCCTCCCCTCTCTTCTCTCTTTCTCAATTGAGGAAATTAAGTCCATGATCTTGTCCATGCTAGGAAAAAATGCTACCACTGATTTATTCCCTCAGCCTGAAATTTAGCAAATGTTTTGATTTCAAATTGCTTTTTTCAATATAGAGTATGCATCCAAATTTAGTGTAATTTAAAAGTAATTTTGAAAAAGTAAATGTTGAAGTGGTTGACCTACATTCAAACACTGGTAAATGCTGTTGAGTGCTTGTACCATGTATATCACACATACTCCTTTTTCAGATAAATGTACCCTGAGACAGAATAGGAATTATAATTATACTTTTGTGTTTGAGTGCCTGCTACTGGGGCTTGAAATCAAGCTTAGCTTTCTTGCTCACGGCTGGGACTCTGCTACTTGAGCCATACTTTCAGTTGGTTGTATCTCATTGGTAGCATACTTCTCTAGCAGGTATGAAGGCCTGGCTTCCATCTCTAGCACCATAAAAAGAAAAAAGAAAAAGTATTTTTCTGGAGTTAAAAAGATTGTTCTAGAGGCTGGGAAGGTGGCTCAGTGGTAGAGTGCTTGCCTTGCATGCATGAGGCCCTGGGTTCAATTCCTCAGCACCACATAAGCAGAAAAAAGCCAGAAGTGGTGCTGTGGCTCAAGTGGTAGAGCGCTAGCCTTGAGCTGAAGAGCTGAGGGACAGTGCCCAGGCCCAGAGTTCAGGCCCTCAACTGACAAAAAAAAAAAAAGACATTCTAGAAGAGTAGTGTGTAATACAGTATTAAATAATGTCAAACAGTTCTTTAATTTTTTGAACTGCTTAAAAGGAAATTTACATAGTAAAACACATTTAAGGAAATTTACTTTGTTATTTAGAGTGGGAATGTTTATTTAAAAAGCACTTTTGTTTGTATGTGTATGTGTGATTTAAAAGCAAGGAGCACGGAAGATCAGCTAAAGCAATTTACTGAAGATTGGTCAGAAGAGGATGTCTCAATCTGGCTTTGTGAACAAGGTTTACAAGACCTTGTTGGTATTTTCAAGATGAATAACATTGATGGAAAAGAACTGTTGAATCTTACAAAAGAAAGTTTGGCTGATGATTTGAAAATTGGTAAGATTAGTAAGATCTTAAATAATATTTAGTAATTTACTTTGAGATTGGTTTTGTTTCACTTGTAGTTTCCTTTAGGATTCTAGTACAATAATTATTTTGATGTATGTCTTTGTATAGAATGAGAATATATATGAAATGAGAAATAAAACAACAACATAAATTCTTGTTGTTTTATTTCTCATTAATGAGGGCATTTTCTTTCATGATGGTATTTCCATATGTGCATCCAATTTTTTAATCATATTCATCTCTCTTCTTTGTTTTAATTACCTTACATATAAGGGATGGTTTTATTGTTATATTTTTACAATGTTTTCTAATCAGTCTGACCCCCTTTTACTGTCCCTTCCTCACTTTCCAAAACAATTTTAACAGATTCGATTGTTCTATTTTCATAGTTGCAAACAATATTTCAACTGTATTCATCCTTTTTCATCCTTATTAGCCAATATCCTCATATTTAAAAAATGGATTATAACATAACCCTAAAATTTGCTCTTTTTTATTTTTCTTTTGGGTCAGTCATGGGGCCTGAACTCTGGGCCTGGGCACTGTCCCTCAGCTCTTCAGCTCAAGGTTGATGCTCTGCCTCTTGAGCCACATTGCTACTTTGAGCATTTTTTTTTCTGCTTATGTAGTGCTGAGGAATTGAACCCAGGGCCTCATGCATGCAAGGCAAGCACTCTACCACTGAACCACCTTCCCAGCCCCTAATATTTGCTCTAAGAGTACAATCGTGACATTTTTGTGTTATCACAGAGTTGTACAAACATTATCACTGTTTAATTTCAGAACATTTTCTTCATCTCAAAAAGAAAATTTAATACCTGATTCCCCATTTTTCTACTCCTGGAACCAGTAAGCTATTTTCAGTCTCTATGAACTTTCTTCTTCACATTTCATACAAGTCTTGTAATATGTGTCCTTTTTCTTTTGTACCAGTCCTGTGGCTATGAGCTCAGGGCCTGGGTGTTGTCTGAGCTTTTATGCTCAAGGTTAGCTCTCTACCATTTGAACCACAGCTCCACTTCCAGCTTTTTTGATAGGTTATTGGAGATAACAGTCTCATGGAATTTCCTGTCCAGGCTGGCTTTGAGTCACAATCCTCCTATCTCAGCTGCCTGAGTAGTTAGAACAACAGGTGTGAGCCATCAGCACCTGGAAATATGTATCCTTTTATATCTAGCCTTTTTCCCTTAACATATTTCAAGGTTTATCCACATTATAGCATGTATCAGTATGTTAGTCCTTTTTAGTCCATTGTATAAACTTATCAGTTTGCTTATCTAGTTATCAGTTTATAGAATTTGGGTTCCCTTTTAGCAATCTTGAAAAATACTGCTGTAAGCAATTCTATACAAGTTTTTCTGTGAGCATCTTTTTTTTCAGTTTTCTTGGGTATGTAATTAGGAATAGAATTGGTGAGTCATGTGGTAACACTATACTTAACTTTGGAAGAACTGCTATGGCTGTTATCCAGCAGTAGATGAAGTTTCTATTTGCTCTGTATATCCCTAGTAATTGTTTGCTTTTTAATTCATAGCCATCTTAGCAGTTGTGAAGGGATTTCTCTTTAATATTTTTATTTGCATTTTCCTAGTTACTTTTTTATATGATTAAGTAGTATAAGTATAAAGGGGCTATAGTTCCCTTAGTCAAATTATGAGTATACAATGCATTTTGAATCCGTGTCACCCCTTCCATTATTCTCCATTTCCCCAATCCCGTGTCTTACCCTCAAATTATGTGGTTGTTTTTACTAATGTACATTGAATGCAATGACTGCAGTTGCTCACTGTTCCTCCTTCCATTCGTGTATGTGCATCTTTTTACCATGCCCCCAAAATGTTTTCACTTCCTGGTATTCATTTTTATAATGCCTTAAAATTCATTTGGGATGCTATGACAAAATCACCTAAATTTAGATAGCTATAAACAACAAAAATTTCTCACATTTGAGAGCTGGGAAGTCCATGAGTAAAGACATGGCAAATTTTGTGTCCAGTGAGGGATCATTTCCCGGTTTGTGGCTGGTGCCTTCCTACTGTGTCTTTGCGTGACAGCGGGGCAGGTTCAACCTCTGGTCTATTTTAGAAGGGCACTGATCCCATTCACAGAAAGGCTACCTTTGTGACCTAATTACTCTCCAAATTCTCACCTCCTAACACCAGCTTTGTTGAAAAGACTTCTTTTTGTCTTGATACTTTTGCCAAAAGTCATTTATGTGAGGGGTTATTTCTGGTGTTCTAATTAATTCTGTTTTGTTGATCGGTATCTATTGCATTGGTACTACACTCTACTGATTATTGTAACTTTGTAATAAGTTTTGAATTGGAGAGTATATGCCCTCCATCATGTTATTTTCAGTAATTGTTTTGGTTGTTCTTAAATTTCTACATGAATTTTAGGATGACCTGGTTAGTTTCTTAAAGCCAATTGACTTTGATTGGAATGGTATGAAATTTGTAAGTGAACTTGAAGGTTGTTGTCACTTTTACAATAATAAGTCTTTAATCCATATACATAGGATGTTTTTCATTCATTTAGGTCTTAAGTTTGTGTCCAAATCCTTTTTTGTTGACACTGAATTTTAGTATATTTAGTATATTCATAGAGATGAGCAATCAGTATTTAAGGTCAGAGTGTTTTCATTGCCCTGGAGAACTCCACTGTTCTTACTCTCGCCTCTCCTTAGGCTCTGGCAGCCACTGATGTACTTTCTGTCTCAATTATATGCTTCATTTTTCTTTTTAACTTTTTTTTGGTGCTGATCCTTGGGTTGAACTCAGACTTAGGGCTTGGGTGCTGTCTCTGAGCTTCATTTTTATTCAGAGCTGGCACTCTACAACTTGAGCCACAGCTCGACTTCTGGCTTTTTGGTAGTATTTGGAGATAAGCACCATAGGGACTTTGCTGCCTGGCCTGACTTGGAACTGTGATCCTTAGCCTCCCGAGTAGCTATGACTGCACACGAGCCACCAGCAACTTCACTTTTTTTTTTTTATGGCCGAGTCATGTTATTATATGGTTATACCACTTTTTGTTTATTTATTCACCAACTTTTGAGCGTTTGTGTTATCTCTACCTTTTTTTTTTTTAGCTATTACCTATAATGCTCTGGGGACATTAATGTACAAGTTGTTCTGGGTACCCATGGCTCTCGCCTGTAATCCTAATTTGGGAGGTTCAACTTTTGACAATAGTGGTTCTAAGCCAATTAGAGCAGACTTACCTACAATTAACCTACAAAAATCTGAAAGTGGAGATATGGCTCAAATGGTAGAAGCCTGAGAAATGGAACACAAAAAAAAGTACAAGATTAGCTGGGCACTGGTGGCTCATGCCTGTAATTCTAGCTACTCAGGAGGCTGAGATCTGAAGATCATGGTTCAAAGCCAGCCCGGGCAGGAAAGACCGTGAGACTCCTATCTCCAATAAACCACAAGAAAACTGGAAGTGGCGCTGTAACTCAAGTGGTAGAGCGCTTGCCTTGAGCTGAAGAGCTGAGGAACAGCCCCACGACCGACAAAAAAAAAAAGTACAAGATTTTATATGACTGTATGTTTTCATTTCTCTTGGATATGTATTAGGAGTGGAATTAGAGTGCTTATTAACGTTTGGAAGGCCTGTAGACTATATTCTAAGAAAATTTCATTATTTCACATTTCTATCAGTTACATGTAGGGTTTGTTTCTTCATAATTCAGAAAATATTTACTATGTCTTCTTGATTATGGTCATCTAGTAGTTTGGACTTTATTTGCAGTTATTTGATGACAGAATATTTCTAAAGTGCTTATTGGCCATATACATATACATAAATATATATTTTGTTTATTTATTTATTTTTTGGAAGTCGTAGGGCCTGGGTGCTCTCCCTCAGCTCTTCAGCTCAAGGTTAGTGCTCTACCACTTGAGCCTTAGCACCACTCCCAACTTTTTCTGCTTATGTGGTGCTGAGGAATGGAACCTATAGCCTCATGTATGCAAGGCAACACTCTACCACTGAGCCACCTTCCCAGCCCTATTTTCTTCCTTTTGCCTATGTAAAAATGTTTCTTACTGAGTTGTCAGGGTTGTTTACATATTCTAGCTACTAGGTTCAGATCAAAAGTAACTTCATATTCTTCCTATGAAGCTCTGTATAAATAGCAGCTAGAAACTGTTCTCATTATGCTATAGTTAATCAGAAAGCTCAAGAAATAAGATATCCATGTTGACATGATGTGCTAATTGAAAAGTGAAATAATAGTTGTTCTAGAAACCACTTAAAATATAGTTTACTTTCCTTAGGAAGAATGATTTTGACAGATGATTGTTTTTTAATACTTAGGCAGAAATTATATACTGTGCACAGGATTCAGAGTTAGATTTTAAGATTTATTGTTTAAAAGTATTGTAAGTCTTCTGAATTGTTAACCTGAACTTCAAAACTGTTTAGGAATTTTTTGTGTAAACTAAAAGAAATTTTGTCAGTCCCAGTGGGTCATACCTATAATCTTAGCTACTTAGGAGGGTGAGATACAAGGATCATGGTTCAAAGCCAGCATAGGCTTTCCCGTGAGGTAAACAGTGTGTTGCAATAAACTGTTTGCTAAAGCCTTACATAAAGATTGACAGTTCTCCAGCTCTAATGAATAATTTCTTTTCAGAATCTCTAGGGCTGCGGAGTAAAGTGGTGAGGAAAATAGAAGAGCTCAAGACCAAGATGAATTCTCTTTCTTCTGGAATTCCTGATGAATTTATATGTCCAATAACTAGAGAACTTATGAAAGAGCCTGTTATTGCATCAGGTATGTGTGATGATTGCCAAGTTCAGGTTATATTATGTGCTGAATAAGTAGTATAGGCAGTTCATGTCTCATAGCTTTCCTTTTTAAAACTCTCTATATCCGGCACCTAATGAGGTGAAGGGATTAAGTTTTAAAGTTTCATTTAAACTTATGAAATGTATAGTTACCAGAATGTAAATATAAAATTCAGTAGTTTTTTTGGAGATACTGTGGTTTGAACTCAGGGCCTCATCCGTGTAGGCACTACTGAGCCAAAAATAAAAGTTTTACATCAGACTGTTGAGTCTTTAACTCTCATTTCTTTTATGGTTTAGGAAATACCTATGTTTTTCCAATCTTGTTATACTAAAATCTTTGCTAAAACTTAAGATAAAATGAGCTCTACAGTATCTTTTTTTAAAAAATGATTTTAAACAACCATTCAGAAATAAGAATTTAAAGCTTATAAAGTTTTTAATAGTTCACATTAATTCCTAATATATACTTTATGTATTTATCAGTGTATTCACATTCTATATGATTTGTGGGGAGCTAAAATTAATAAACATTTTTGAATATTGAGTTTACATAATTTTTTACTTGCAATACCTTTGTACCTGTATTGTGTGTTTGACTCTCCAACTAGTAGGTATGTTTGCAAATCTTTATATATACACATATATATACATATATATATGTATTGTAAATGTTATTGCACACATACTTTGATGCATGTTTTTGTTGTTACCATTACTTAGATTAAGGTCACTTCTGTAGGCTAAGTCTCCACAAGCTGAACTAGTCAATTAGAATATTTTAGACAAGGAACAAATTTGATAGATTTTATTGACTGACATTTTTCTAGAAAATAAGTTTACCCATTTTCAGTTCTGATTATAATTTCATTTATTCTTGTATCACTCTTTTGTGTAATACTGAATCTGAGCATACTTTTTATGGTTTTCGTCTTTTTCTTTAGCAGTACTAGATTTGAACTTGAGTCTTTTACTTGCTGGGTGGCAAGCATTCTACCACTTGAACTATGGCTCCAGATTCCTGTAACTTCTTGTCCACAAACATTTAGTTTATGTTGTTTATTTTTACCTTTTATTCTTTAGTATGAAATATACTTATGGGAGGCCGTAACAGTGCATGTACTGAAGCTCCAGACTGAATTTTTTTCGTTACTTGTGGAGGCTATACAACATCTCTGTGCCTCGGTTTCCTTGTGTGCAAAATTGGCATAGTGGTACTTACCTTCTGGGATTGAGAATGACTTGATGTAAATTAGGTACTTAAACTACCTGCTTGCTGGGCTCCGATGGCTCATGCCTGTGATCCTAGCTACTCAGGAAGCTGAGATCTGAGGCAGGAAAGTAGTCTGAAACTATTATCTCCAATTAACCATCAAAAAACTGGAAGTGGGAGAGTACTAGTCTTGAAGAGCTGAGGGACAGCGCACAGGCCCAGAGTTCAAGCCCCACGACCAAAAACAACAACAAACAAAACCAGAATAGTACCTTCCGATAATAAGTTAGCTGTTTTTATTTCAGACTATGAAATTTTCTGTGTTAGGACTCTAGTTGCAACAGAGAAAAACCCATTAGTTTACTCAGACATGACAGTTTATTAAATGTGAATCTGAGGAAAAGGGACACTGGAGAACTTATGTAGTCAGGATTCTCTTTATTCAGAGGCCTGAATATCCACTTTGTGATGTTTATTATGCCTTTGTTTTTCATAAAAAAGATCCTTTTGGGAACCAATAGGTACCAAGTTTTACATTATTGGTATGGATATTTTCCTCTTTTGTGTTTGGTTTTGTTTTCATATTGATTTATGTCAGTAATTGCTGAGTACTGTTCCATTGCATGAGATATTATATAAATATATTTATATTAACCATATTCCATAATAGATTTATATTCATCCTTAACCCAATAATGGGCTTTTAGGTATTTTCCTCTTGGTAGCTATTATGCCCATAAACAAAATGTCAGGACACATTTGATTTTCTCTTGTGAAATTTATTAAAGTGGAATTACTGGGTTCTATAAGTAAATGCTTAACTTTAGAAACTTTCTAAGTTACTAGCTGAAAATTTCAATTTCTCTATCTCCTAGTCAACACTTGGTATTAGTCTTTTTAATTTTTGCCATTTTACCACTTGAGCTAATACTCTACCAGCTTTTGGGTGGTTAATTGGAGAGAAGAGTCTCAGACTTATTTGCTCTGGTTGGTTTCAAACCACAATCCTCATATCTCAGCCTTCTGAGTAGTTAGGATTATAGGGTGAGCCATTGGTGCCCAGCTAGAAGACATTCTCTTAAACATTGCTAATAAAAATAGGCAGGGTTCCTATAGATTCCAGAGTGTGTGTGTGTGTTGCCAGTTCTAGGGCCTGAACTTAGTTCCAAGGTACTGTCCCTGAGCCTCTCTGTTCTCAAGGCTAGCACTATATCACTTCAGCCACAGTGATACTTCTGGCTTTTTCTAAGTAGTTTATTGGAGAGAAGAGTCTCACAGACTTTTCTGCCCGGACTGGCTTCGAACTGTGATCCTCAGATCTCAGCCTCCTGAGTAGCATGAGCCAGTGGCACCTGGCAGCCACAGTATTTTAGACCATCCCAAATGGTCTAAATCCTAGGTGAATCCTATATTTACTTTGATGACAGGAAGAACCACAAGTACCCTTAAAAGCCAGACTTCTCTGAAGGATTTCACCATTTTTTTGGCAGGGGGGAGGGGTGGGCCCTTCAGCATTATTTTCAAAGAGTTCTAGGCATTGTAAGTTAGACAGTAAGAACCAAGCTTTTCGGCTAAGAAAAAGCCCTTACTAGTATAGCTTTTTTTTTTTTTCTTTGTCAGTCATGGAGCTTGAACTCTGGGCCTGGGCACTGTCCCTCAGCTCTTCAGCTCAAGGCTAGTGCTCTGCCACTAGAGCCACAGTGCCACTTCTGGCTTTTTCTGCTTATGTGGTGCTGAGGAATCGAACCCAGGACCTCATGCATGCAAGGCAAGCACTCTACCAGCACTCTACCTCTGAATCACCTTCCCAGAAATTTACTCCTATCTTCTCTCCTCTACCTTGAATTCATACTTCTGCCTCAACTTCTCCCAGTTCTAGGACTGCAGTTGTGTATCACAATTGGCTCAGAAATTCCAGTCTTTATCGTTGAGTTTTGCAAGAACATAATTAAAACATCAGTGCATTATTTTTCTTAAGGGGAGGGCTCCCAACTTCCCTCTACTGTCAAGTCCTTAATGGATTAGTTCTATAATACATAGCTATTTCCCTGACTTTAATGTTCTAGGAAGTTTCACTAAGTTATTCCTATGACTCTTTCCCTCATCTTTGAACACATTTATCTTTACTACCAGCTGTTTTGCTTTCTTTTCAACCTCTATGTCTGAATTTTTGACAAGGTCCTGTTTTCAGATGTACTGTTCAAAAGGATCAGGTAAGCTTCACAAAGCACTATCTAGTCTTAACAGCAATGATGGAAGGATTCTTTGTGGCAGGGATATTTAGGAATGGTATAAGCATGGTAAGAATACCACTTAAGTCACAATAGAAGCCTTGATAGAGTCTTTAGACTCATTTTGGTAACTTGCCTTTCTGACATTTCATTTGTATATGTTTGACTTTTAGATGGCTATTCATATGAAAAAGAAGCAATAGAAAATTGGATCAGCAAAAAGAAACGTACAAGTCCCATGACAAATCTTGTCCTTACTTCAGTGGTACTTACACCAAACAGAACTCTGAAAATGGCCATCAACCGATGGCTAGAGACACATCAAAAATAAAGTTGTTGGGCTGGGCGTGGTGGTGTAGTGTAACCCCCAGCTTCTTGGGAGGCAGAGGTAGAAGGACCACCTCCACCTGATTGCCTTACTCAAGGCCAGCCTGAGGAAAGTTGACACAAGAACCTATTTGAAAGACAAACTACAAAAGGGCTGGGGGCATGGCTCAGCTATTATATAGCTTGCTAGCAAACACAAGGTCCTGAGTTCAAACCCCAGTATTGCAACAACCAAAAATTAGTGATCTTGCTTGAATGATTTAAAGGTAAACATGGATTAAAATCAAATTAACCTCTCTACAAAAATAGGATGCCTTTGCATCCTAAATATGGAATATCAAAACAGAAGGAAAAAGGTAAGCAAATTAAAACTAGTCACATAAAAATTGTCACTTTACATTCTTTAAACAAATGGACTGAATTACACTAATTTTATCCTCTTTTTACTATAGAGTAAATATCTTTTTGTACCTGTGAAAAAGACTATGTAAAAATAAAATTTCACTGTGGTTTTAAGTTGTAATTCTCAATTTTTTTTTTTTTTTTTGGTCGGTCGTGGGGCTTGAACTCTGGGCCTGGGCACTGTCCCTCAGCTCTTCAGCTCAAGGCGAGCGCTCTACCACTTGAGCTACAGCGCCACTTCCGGTTTTCTGGTGGTTTATTGGATAGGAGTCTCACGGTCTCTCCTGCCCGGGCTGGCTTTGAACCGTGATCCTCAGATCTCAGCCTCCTGAGTAGCTAGGATTACAGGCGTGAGCCACCAGTGCCTGGCTCAATTTTTTTTTCTTGCTGGGTATAGGTGGTTTCTTGGTATAACAAGAGTGGACTCCTCTAGATACTTACTTTTGAGTTTATACTTTCATTTATTCAAATATATTAGAATCCATCAAAATTGCATATTTAAGTTTAAAATATAGTGAAGAGTTTTTCTCTTTTGGTCAAACCCAGATACTAGATAGGTAAACATCAGATAGACTTTGTGGTAGAATTGTTAGAATTCTTAGAAGTTCTCACTTGTATACAATGGCCTGATATTTAATAGATCACCTAACATCCACTCAGAAGTTCAAGTTCAGAAAGGAAAGCTGTTGTGACTTCTCACATACCTGATACAGGCTGATTTGCTCAAATGGGAGGCTTGTTGGAACAACAGCACAAGTGCAGGCAGGGAGCAGGATGCTTACCTCTGCACAGTGAGCCCAAAACTTCCTGGAATTTCCAAGAATATTCAAAAATTCAAAAGACTGGGGAAAGCAATGTATTTCATAAACTTACAGCTAACATAGCAGATGGTCACAGGAAAGTAGTAAACCTGCCTACTACAAAAATGTCCCAGGAGCTATCATACTGCTTTGTAAGATCTGTAACCTAATGGCTCTGTTGTCTTTGCATCCTAACTAGAATCCTGTTTTGATAGAGAGGTTAATAATTCTTGTTTTCACATTACAAAAACTTCTCTCATTATTGTAGACAAAAAAAAAAAAGGAAAAAGGTTGGAAATAGGTGTCCTTTGACAAGTATTCTAACATTCAGGGAAGTTTTTTGTTTTTTTTTAATAGACCACCACTAGCTAGCACAATATCATTTTGCTTCGATAAGTAACAGACATATTCCAAAGGATCAGTGAAAATCAGTGTTAAAAATGAATTCTAAAGTAGTTTTTGCAGACGTGTTTTTTCAAAAAAGGCATTTTTAACCAGACTGTGGTGACTCATGCCTGTAATCCTAGCTACTCGGGAAGTTGAGATCTGAGGATCAAGATTTGAAGCCAGCCTGGGCAGAAAAGTCCCTGTGAGACTCATCTCCAATTAACCACTCAAAAACTACAACTGGTGCTGTGGCTCAAAGTAGTAGAGCACTAGACTTGGGCAAAATAGCTCAGAGACAGCACACAGGCCCTGAGTTCAAGCCCCATGATGGGGGGGGGAAAACAAAACAACCCAAACATTTCGCTTTCTATAGTTTCTTGTAAAGGAGCAATTTTCCAAATTTAAACACCTGTTTTATACAAACACACAAATCAAAGCCAAACAACCCCATCTTCCAAACATGTAGACAAAAACCAAGTCTGAGGCCATTTATAGAAAGGATCAAGGCATAGGCCCTAAGTCCCAGCACTGGTCAGGATCATTAGAAGCACTGCCCAGTGCTGCCTGATGTGACCTTCTCAAGAGTGCATTTCTTCCCTCAGTACCTGAGAAAATGTCCTATCAACAATGAAGATAATATTTTATTGATCTCACTATACTGGCTGCTTTACAGAAAATGCAGGACAAGAATTTTGTATTATCAGTATTTCCCCTCCTACCCTATTCTCTTTCATTTTTAAACTTTAAATATCAAAACTTAACTGAAAATACTTTCCTTAAGCTTCTAGCAATAGCAGTAATGAGACAATGATGTAAAGTACTATCAGGCTTAAGATTACAAGTTAGGATTTTTATCAAGACACAGCAATATAACCCACTGCACTGGACCTGAAAATGTGAGCATAAAGAGAAATACCCATTTTAAAGTGAAGATAAAAGATAAATAGGCTCAACCAAAATAACGGTATTGTCAAAATGTGACTGTTTTTGCCAAAAGGTTTTGAAAGCTGCTGTATTAAAGGTGCTCCATTGTCATTAAAACAGACAAAGCAGATTGCTTTCCTTCACGTTTTCGTCCTATATTTTAGGTAAAAAAGACTTGTGACCATAGGGCATTTTGGAATTTGTAGAAGTTGCCAAACTTACTCTGAAATTAAGTGAAATTAAATGTGCATTTGGTAAAAGTGCTTTTTTCTGTTTTTTTTTTTTTTAAGGTAACCAAGATTACACCAAGGCAGATAGGTTTCACCAGATATTCTCTACTTATCCATTGAATCAGTGAATGCAACCCAATTCTATTAATAGTCTTTATTCCTATGGAAAAGTACAGTAGTTGTGCAGAAACAAAACTATATAATGAAAGAGTCAGACTTCCACAATATTAAAGAAAATAAATAAGCCATAGTAGTTATAGCAGAACTCACAGAAAGCCTATAAAAAATGATAAAGCTGTTTGTACAAAGTACACTGTATACACTCAAGAACACTGAAGAATGATACCAGAAGGTTCCCATTCGTACAAAACTGTAATGATCTTCACAAGAACTTTGTAACTATTCATTTAAGAACATTCTGCAAATATAGAACTTCCTTCTCCCCAATTCTAGAAAATAAATTTCACATCTTGACATATAAAACAAGTCCATTCCCATGTCTTTCAAACTAGCATTTTAACATCCTCCAACAACACACCATTTTCATATAAAAATACCTTTAAGCCAAGGCTCATTCCTGTACCTTATCTTTACAAATGAATAATACATCAGCTTGGACTTAAGTAGCACCTCACGGGTGTTCATATAAATGAGATAAAGTGCCGTTACTGGTATACTGTTAACATGCCATAGTAACATATTCAGTGCAACAACCAGCATGAATGAAGCCTAACAAAGAACATGCAAATATGACTGGGGGTGTGTGAGTTTGTTTTTGTTTACAGATTAGCTACTTTCAAATAGTTGTATTTACAAATCTGAATAAAACTGGGCTAACTATTTAGTATATACAATGTGACTATGAAGTAATGATTGTATAACAAAACAGAAGCAACAACCAACCATACCTTAAGTAACCAAAACAAGCATCAACCATACCTTTAGTAACCAAAATAAAAGCAACAACCAAACATACTTAAGTATCCCACTTGGATTTTGGAAAGTACCCAATGTTAAAAACAGTTCTGGAACACATTGATAGCTAGTTTTTAGGTGCCACTAAGAATGCTATTCTCAGTATATTTTAGCCAAGTCTGACTTGACTACTAATCAAGATTGCAAATAGCTTATTTAGCCTGCTTCCACATATTGAAAACACCTTGAAGCATAAACGTACTTCCTATAAAGGTCCTATAAAAAATAAAGAGCCATAAAAGTGAAATTATATTTCAATCCCCTCTAAAGGAACTGCAATGAAGGAAATAATTCTTTGATAGTCTTATTTTTTATTTAAAGAACAACAAAAAATCAACTATATGATAGCTTCATTTTCTAAAAAAAAAAAAAATCACTTAGCTCTCTCTCATAAACATACACAAACACACTGGGATTTAATGAGTTTGAACTGTAACTTAAAAAAAACTCTACCTTTCCAGAATAATTTGGGCATTATGTGGAGTCAAAATCTATTGCTCTTTTAACAATGGATGTTTTCCTTTAGATAAATACTAATCTTACAACATAGCAATGACTAGGAGAAAAATCAAGTGATTTTGTAATAGAAAAGCAGAGTTAATGCCTTGGCTGTCTTAAATTTTTATTTTGATATATATATATATATATATATATATATATATATATATATATATGTGAGTAATTAGTTTTCAGCTCTGTTTAGCATTCTTATTTATAGTGACTTCTAGCTGCTTAGAAAAGAACTGTTTTCTTACATTTTTAATATGTCAATGGCATCAGATCCACCCTGGAGGATGGAAAAATATGGCTAAAATTTCTTATGATGAAAAAAAAGTTCTGGTGGTATTTACCACCAGGGCCCAACAGGCTTTTCCAATTTTAGACTGCGTCTCTTAAGGCTCACACATTTGACTCTATGAATGAGCGCTTTGGTTTCGCTGAAGTGAGGTGACTTCTGTGGGCTTCATTAGTGATGTGAGGTGGCTGCTTGGGGATGCTTTCCTGGTACAGATGAGAAACACTCTTAGTTATCCTGGTGTCTGGGCAATGGACTGGGATTTGGCACTTGTTTTCTTCTAGTTCCTTCACCGGTGCCCCGTTGTGGACACTTCCACCCAGGGTAGAAACAGAAGAGGGCTTGGCTTGGTGGGAATATCCTGGCTTGAGAGAGGACTTCTCAGAGTTAGAAGGCTGCAGGCCAGCTGCAGCAGCTGTGTTTGTCAGTAGCCCCTCTGCCACCTGGCAGTGCCAGGTACGGTTTGGAGGATTGCTCTGCTGCTGGAACCTTGCAGTCTTGTCCATGATTCCCATGAATGGAGTATTGCGTGGCCTGTGCTCGGCAGTTCCACTCTGCACCTGGTTTATAGTTTTGTCTTTAAGTCGAGTATCTGGTCCCTGGACCTTGAAGCCATCTGAAAAACTACTGCTAGAAGTCAGACTACTGGTGGAACTTGACATCTTTATGCTGCTCGACGGAGAACCAGAAGAGCCTGAGCTGGCAAGGGAAGCAGGGTGTCTCATATCATTGCAACTACCTGGTCCACCCTGGCTTGGCGGGGCTACGTCGCCAGCTACAGAGGCGTGAGACAGGAGCCTCTCTGCGGCTTTGATCTTGCTTGGTAACGGGTATGCAGTCCCACTCTCACTGCGCTGCAGCTGGACATTCTGGCTGGGGCCCAGCCGATCCCCAAAGTGTCCACAGCCAGCTCCCATGGCAAAGGGCCCCACTCCCTCTACATGTTGGCTTCTGCCTCCAGCAGGAGCTGCGGGAATCCTACCTGGCATGGGACTTGGGGGA